TTTTTTTTTTTTTTTTTTTTTTTTTTTTAACAAAGGGCGGCCCGAGTGTAGTATGATCCAGGCACTCCGGCCTGGTTCATACGACGGCCACTTTCAGATTATAAAGCCGGAAAACGGGTCCGGCGTCCCTCACATCGTAGAAGTGATTACGATTTGTTCCAAAGCTACAGTACAAATGAACGAAATGACAAAGTCCCCATCGTGCGAAAACACTACTTACCTAAAAAAGCATCAAAAGCAAGCCCTACAAAGTCAAAACCTACCACCCTTGAAATTCATCCAACCCTGAGATCCGCCCTGCCACCCGCACGGCAGGGGTCTGTGACCACAGACCCCGCAAACCCACCCACCTCCTCGCGATTCAAAGCAGATCACTCCGCCCCCCACGTTGCCCACTTTCAAACACCAACTCCCACCATGATGGTGCATCAGCAACCCTCAGAAATACCCTACCACCCGCGCGGCAGGGACTATAAGTCATTTTCAGCAGTTTGGTAAAAACAAAGCACTGCCTCAACTACTTTATAGAACTACAAATCAATTTTGAAGTTAACAATAAAACCGTTATCAAAAAATATATGTTATGTAATAAGAATACAAACAACTTTTCTTTGGGAGACATCTTCTAATTTTTTGCCAAACACGAGTTTAAAATTGAAAAAAGGGGAAAAAATAAAATCAACAGTAAAAAATAATATGTTCACCCGTGTACGGGAGAACATGTTCAAGTGAATGTATTCACAAACAGGAGAACATATTTGCGTATTCGGACTGTGGCCTTATCATTTCCTAGCCTGCAGCAATGACTTTCCATCGGGGCTGCAACGATCACCCTTCTTACTTCAATCTCTCCCTAGAAATTGCCAACTGAATCCTCATTTTCTATACACATCTTATCCAACTATAAACATGACTTTTCTAGATAACAAAAAATTGCGCTACATCGGTTCTTGAACTTACGGTGCTTCGCCAGGTAGTGATTTTCTGTGGAAGAACCCACTTTTCTCCTCGCCACTTCCAGTGGTTTTGAAAAAAAATATTTTTCTAAAAAATTGTTTGCGGTTCTTTTACTTCACGTAGAGTTTTGTTCCTTGAGGAGGCCTGGAAAACGTACTATCATAATCTTCAATAGATTTCATGCAAACGTAACTGCAAAAACAAAAAAAAGTCCTTCAGGACATCCGTTAAAATTGGAATGATACAAAGAAGATTAACATGGCCCCTGGGCCCTCGCCCCACTGCACAAGGTTGTACATGCATTTGGACGCTTTCTTGACCAGAGTGAGGCCCCTGCGCAAGGATGACGTGCATAAATCAAGAAACTGTGCAAATTAAATTAAAATAATCATAATAATAATAATATAATACTCACA